ATTCAGCGATGGGGATGATCCAATTGAATGGATTTACAAGGCGGAGCAGTATTTTGATTACTTTTCGGTGCCTTCTGAGAAAAAGGTAAAAATGGTTTCTTTCCATCTGGATAGTGAGGCTCTGCAATGGTATAAATGGGAGGAATGTGCTTCTTCTTTGTCCAAATGGGAAGATTTTACCAGGGCATTTTGTAGAGAATTTGGCTCTCATGGGTTTGAGGATTTTGCAGAGTCACTCTTTAAGCTTCGTCAAACAGGTCCCTTAAAGGATTATATTGCTGAGTTTCGACGATTGGCAACTCGAATCCGTGATCTTAGTCCTATTTTTCGATTGAGCTGTTTCGTTGGAGGATTAAAGGAAGAACTCAAGCATGATGTCAAGCTGCTTCGTCCTGCTACAGTTCATGAGGCCATGAATTTTGCTCACGAAGTGGAGGCTAAACTTCAGAAGTTGAGGTATGCACATTCTGCTGGAAATTTTAAGTCAAGATTGCCTTTTTTACCCATTCAAAATGATTTAGTTCCTGCTAAAAATGAGGTTGCTTCTAAGAAGGATATGCCTGTCAAGAAATTAACCCCAGAAGAAATCCAATATAAACGGCAGAATAATCTTTGTTTTTATTGTGATGAAAAATTTGTGAGGGGTCATAAGTGTGCAAGGAAACAAATCTTGTTGTTGGATATGGGTTATAATAGTTCTGAAGAAGAGGAAATAGTTCATGAATTACAACAGATTGAACAAGTGGCTGAGGTAACTGCTTGTTGTATCACAGCTTGTGCTTTGTATGGTACTCCTGCTCCTCTTGCTATTAAGACTATGAAACTCACTGCTGTAATTAAAAACTGTCCGGTTGTGGTCTTGTTAGACTCTGGAAGTTCTCATAATTTCATCGATCTTAGCATGGTTAAGAAGTTGGGTTGGAAGTTAGATCAGTCTCATATTTGTGATGTCATGATAGCTGATGGTGGACAAGTTCAGAGTAAGGGTTGTTGTGCTGCGGTTCCTTTAGCCATCGGGACTTATGTATATACCTCTGATATGTTTGCTTTGCCATTGGGAGGCTGTGACATTGTGCTTGGGGTTCAGTGGTTGAGAACTCTTGGTCCAATCTTGTGGGACTTTGAGAGATTAACTATGAAGTTTTGGCATGGGAATGAGCAAATCTGTTTGTCCAGTTCTAAGCCTCAGCCTCCACAGCCTATTTCTTGTCAACAGATGGACAAGTTGTTGCATTCAGGTTGTTATGGTGTGATTCTTTGTGCTGTAGAATGTGAAAATATGGCCAAACCCGCAGAAGATTTATCCTCACCACAACAGCATGAATTGCAAGCCTTATTGGATTCTTTTTCTGCTGTCTTTGGCACCCCAACTACACTACCTCTTGTGAGAGAACATGATCATCGGATCCCACTAATTTCTGGTTGTAAACCACCAAGCATTAGACCATATGCTTATGGACCACTTCAAAAGTCAGAGATTGAAAAGTGTGTCAAGGAGCTGCTGGACTCTGGATTTATACGAAACAGTCATAGCCCTTTTTCTTCTCCTGTTTTGTTGGTCAAGAAGAAGGATAGCACATGGAGAATGTGCATGGATTACAGACAGTTAAACGAGTTCACTATAAAAGATAAGTATCCAATTCCACTTATTGATGATCTGTTGGATGAATTGCATGGAGCAAAGTATTTTTCCAAATTGGACTTGAGGAATGGCTATCATCAGATCAGAGTTCATCTAGAAGATATTGAAAAAACAGCTTTTCGGACTCACGAGGGACATTATGAATTCCTTGTTATGCCCTTCGGTTTGACAAATGCTCCTGCCACATTTCAAGGTTTGATGAATGCGATTTTTCGAAATTGTTTACGGAAGTTTGTCTTGGTATTTTTTGATGATATTCTTGTTTACAGTACTTCATGGTCAGATCATTTGAGGCATTTACATACTGTTTTGGAAATTTTAAAGCATCATCAACTTTTTGTCAAGATGTCCAAGTGTGCCTTTGGAGTTTCTACTATTGAATATTTGGGTCACATCGTCTCTAGGCAAGGAGTTTCAGCTGATCCTTCCAAATTAAACGCAGTGGCTGACTGGCCTGTACCTACTTCTGTTAAAAGTTTGAGAGGATTTTTGGGTCTCACAGGTTATTATCGGAAATTTATTCCTCACTATGGTAGGGAAAGTTTCCCTTTGACTCAGTTAACTAAGAAGGATGGATTTTTGTGGACTCCCGAGGCTACTGCTGCTTTTCACAGGCTTAAGGAACTCATGTTATCTCCTAGGGTGCTCGCCTTGCTAGATTTTACAAAACCTTTTATCATTGAGAGTGATGCTTCTGGATCTGGTATAGGAGCTGTGTTACAGCAGGAAGGCAGGCCTATTGCTTTTACCAGCAAGACTCTTGGTCCTAGAAACCAAGCCCTTTCCACTTACGAGAGGGAAATGATGGCAATTGTTCATGCCATCAAGAAGTGGCATCATTACTTACAAGGAAGACACTTTATCATTAAGACAGATCACCATAGTCTTAAATATTTTCTCAATCATAAGGCTCACACTCCTTTTCAGCAAAAATGGGTCACCAAGCTTTTGGGCTATGATTATGAGATACACTATAGGCAAGGGAGTGATAATAAAGCAGCTGATGCTTTGTCTAGATTTCCTATCAGTCACAGCTCTTCTACTGACCAAGTTCAAGTCTTATTTCATGTTTCTTGTTTGAAGAAGCATTTGGGAACTCATGTGACTCCTTCGTTAACATTACCTCGGATTACTGAGTACAATGAGGGTGATCCTTAGATTCTTAGTAAAAAACATGAAGTTCTAGCTGTTGCTGGTCTTACACAATCCCCTCATGCATCATCTCCTTCTACAACAAATCAATTACTCAAGTTTCACATTGACAATGGTCTCCTTAAATATAACTCCAGAATAGTCCTCAGTCCTGATTCGATTTGGAAGCCCAAAGTTTTTGCTGCTCATCACTCAGTTCCAACGGCTGGTCATGCTGGGTTCTTGAAGACTTATCAAAGACTTTCTCGGAGTTTTTATTGGCCAGGTATGAAACATGATGTGCAAAAAATGGTAGCTGAATGCCACATCTGTCAACAACATAAGTATGAAACTGTGACTCCTGCTGGATTATTGCAACCCTTGCCTATACCGGATAAGGTATGGACTGATATCTCAATGGATTTTATTGTTGGCTTACCCCCTTGCCAAGGGAAATCTGTCATTTTTGTAGTAGTTGATCGTCTGAGCAAGTATGCCCATTTCATTGCTTTATCCCATCCTTATTCAGCTGCTACCATTGCTCAGCTCTTTGTGGACCATGTGTTTAAGTTACATGGTATGCCTAGCTCCATTGTTTGCGACAGGGATCCAGTATTTGTTAGTGATTTCTGGAAAGAATTCTTCAAATTGCATGATGTAGCTTTACGGATGAGCTCTGGTTATCATCCCCAGACTGATGGCCAAACTGAAGTGGTTAATCGGTGTTTGGAGACCTATTTGAGGTGTTTTGCTGCTGCTCAGCCCAAAAAATGGTTGCTTTGGTTATCTTGGGCAGAATTTAGCTATAATACAGCCTATCATACATCAACCAAGTTAACCCCATTTGAAGTTGTTTATGGTCAGCCCCCACCCAGGGTTACACCATATGAGCCAAGCACTACCAGATTTGCCAATGTTGACAGAAGCTTGGCTGCCAGAGACAGAGTGTTGACCTTGCTGAAGTCTAATCTCCTTATGGCACAGACTCGAATGAAGACTCAAGCTGATAAACATCGCTCTGAAAGGGAATTTCAGGTTGGGGATATGGTGTATTTGCGTTTGGTACCTTACCGGTTACAGTCCTTGGCTGCTCATTCATACCACAAACTTTTGCCCAAATTTTATGGCCCTTATGAGATACTAGAGAAGTTGGGACCAGTGGCTTACAAACTCCAATTGCCTACTGGTTGTAAGATCCACCCTGTATTTCATGTTTCTTGTTTGAAGAAGCATTTGGGAACTCATGTGACTCCTTCGTTAACATTACCTCGGATTACTGAAGATGGTATTGTGCAAGATGAGCCACTGGCTATTTTGGAAAGGAAGTTAGTCAAACGTGGTAATGCTGCGGGGGTGGATGTCCTAGTACATTGGAAGGGTCATACACCAGAGGATGCCACGTGGGAGGACTACCATGACCTACAGGCCAGATTTCCAGAATTCATTGCCCAGGTTGAAGCTGCTTTCAATTCCAGATGAATCATGTTGCAATTGCTGTAGCAACTCTGTTTTTTGTTCTAATAAGTTTTCAATGCTTGTAAACTTAGCTTCAAAGGGAGGGGTAATGATAGGAATTAGGAGTTAGAGCCAAAACTGTAAAACAGTTTTGGATAGTTAGTTAGCCACATGTCAAGTGTTAGTTGGGGAATCTGTTACAATTACTGTTGTATCCTTGAAGGTGGCTTTATTACCAATTTGGGGAGCCATTGTACGTATTGTTGAGAAATATACAGAAACATTCTTTGGGTTCTCTCTGTTCTTGGTTAATGTCTAAGGTTGAAAGATAGAGTCCTATCACCTGTTTCCGCTAAATTTCTCAAAGACTTGAACTTTTTTCGTTTTTGAAATCATGGGGGTTGAGTTCCTAATTTTTCTTTACATTGCTTGATTTTTGTGGCTTGTTGGGTAGTTGAAGTGACCAAAGATTTTGTCTTTGCTGGTGGGTCTTTTGGGTTTTAGGTTTTGAGTTAAGCTGTTCCAAGTTTCGTAGTTTCTCTGGGTTTGATGTGGTTTTTTTTTTTCTTTCCAGATAGTTGTGCGTGAAAAGCATTAAATTATCCGAATATAGCGAAGGGAGGGTTAAGGATATTTGCTTTCCATTTCTGGCAAAAAGATACCAACACCTCGTCTCTCTTTTCACTTTATTCTTCAGCTTTGGTTGAGCTCGACGATTCTTCCAGTTTTGACTTCCTCTAAGGTGTACTGCGTCAGAGAATTGAACCCTCCGGGCTTCGCCATCTGGTGTGGAAACTGCTTTTTCGGAGCCAAATCCGTTCAGCTATGCATTAGTTGGAGCATTGTTACCTCTTTTTTTTCAGTTTTAATTTTATGTTCTGCTTGGATGCCGATAAATGAAGGAAAAGAAATGTTGTTGCTGGTTTTAGTCTGTTGGTATTCTAGGAAGTGAAAGCTTATTAGTCCAATTATTTGTTATTACATGTTGGGCTACTTTTGTTGCATGTTCTTAGAAGATGAACTGGACATCACTAGGGATAATACATATTAGTTATCAAAGGTCCTGTAACATTAGTAAATTTATAAAAAAAAATGTGTTTTTAAACAATTCAATTTATAAATGTTTTGGTAGATGATTCATTTATTAGTGTCTGTAATTAAGTAGCAAATTGCTGATTGCCAGTATGTGTAACTTATGTATTTCAATCTGGTTTTCTTATTCAGAAGATGTTTCATTCAAGGTTGATGGATTGCTGCTTGAATTTCACTTCAGAATGACTGCAGCTTAATTAGATTTATATTTTATAGTTTTATGGCTCTGATAGTTTATTTGTGTTTCTGGATGTAGGTACTTGCACATGTTTCCTCACTGAACAAATTCCTTTATAAGGCGTCAATCTAGAGTTGTTTTTTTTCCAGAGTTGTACGTGAAAATGGGGTTTCAGACACGACCCACAAGTAGAAATTTCAGCCAAGATGAAGCGGAAGATGATATTGCTAGCATTTCGCATTTGATTTCGACGTTGAGATCGGCATTTCTGACTTCTGATTTCGACCACGTAGAAGAAAAATTAATAGCCAGAGAAACTAAACTAAAGAGGGAGATTATTAAGCTGAAGAGTGAGAATCAAGTGCTGGAGGAAAAACACCAATTTGATAGGTTGGAAAAGCTTAACCTTGGGGAAGAGCGAAATGCAGCAAATGAGAGATACAAGAAGCTACTGGGGGAGGTGATGAGGGGAGTGGGATCCGATGATAAAGTTACAATGTTGGAGCTCAGGAGGAAGAACGATGAGTTGGAGAGTGAAAATAAGAAGCTTGAGGCTTTGCTTCATAATAATTTTACAAGATGGGAGAACAACATTTCAAGGTTAGAGAAGGATACAGAGGAATTGATGAATGAAAGGCGAATGGGTTCAAGAAAAATGAGAGGAAGAAGAGGAAATGGTGGAATGATTGTTGATGGTAAAAAGGACAATTGTAGTGTAACCCATTTCCCTGTCATAGACTTAGAGAATGTGGTTGAGTTGAATGAAAATGGAAGCGCGGCAGCTAGTGCACCAGTCTCTCCTTTGAGTGATAATCCACATTCTAAAGGCAATGGGCATCAGCAAAATTCAGGTATCAGAGAACTCTATGATATGTCATTTTAATCCATTCTAATTGCCAGCTGTTGGTTAACTGAATTTACCGTTTGAGTTTTGTTAGGCTTTATGAAGTATACATCAGTGTGTATGAACTTTGAAGTACCTTGGTTAATTGCTAGTACTGTTATAGATGTTACAACTTTGTTGTCATTAAAATAATTGTGAATACTCTTTAAAGGAACATCATAAATGTAGTATAGTAATGATAATAGGTGTATATGATTATTCTTAGGGCCAATTCCCACATGTTTTGCTAAATATGCAACGAATTATATTTGTCATCTTCAAAGTTTCCTGGAACCTTGTTGCCAATGTCTCTGCGATGCCTAACATAAATCTTCCATGCCAGGTGCTCACAAATTTTCATCCGGAGGCGCTGGTTTTATTGTCTGTAGTGATGATGATTGTGCACCCAGAGAAAATTCAGGTTTGTCTGGGGTACAAAAGAAACCAAAGTTTCTCAAAAGAAAATGTGCTTCATCTCCGAGCAGTGGTGATAAGGAGAATGGTGATGACAATTTTGAAGAGATGGAGCAACACTCTAAGTTCAACCTTGAACCCTTTGGTTCTAAGGTGAATCACTGCTCAGAAGCGGGTGTTACTTCCACTACTAATGACCCATCAAGTCGTGATCCAGTGAACTTAAGACAAGCTGAAGAAGAAATAGAGCCAGAACAGAAGTTATTGGAATTTATTAGGCCTCTTGCGGAGGCGAGGGTTGATTGTGATAGTGGCAGTTCTAGTTCCAGTTCTTCTGACTCTGAGGATGGCAATAGATGTCAGTTTTTATACTCTTATGCAATGCAAAAGGTCAAAGAAAGAAAGGTAAATAAAAAATGACACATGTTGTTACTTGATGCATTTGAGGAAAATCCTGAAAGTGGGACAAATGTTGTCTCTGCTCTTGGCCCGCAATAGACGTCATATTTATTTTGAGTGATCAACTACTATTTTGAAATTTCTCATGTTTTGTATTGTAGATAGTTGAGTGGTAATCTTTGATCAGCCGTTTGTACTTGTTCTTACTGCTGTTAGTATAATATGGTTTTGCACATATGCTTCAGGAATACGTCTCAAGAGATTCTTGTATCTGAGGATCCATATGGGAGCCTAAAAAGGAACTGTCAAGGAGATGTAGGTGTATGCTGGAGAACTTCATTGTGACTGCAAGACACCTATCAGTGGTACTTTGAGCACTTTTTGGAGATATGCTATGTGCTTGACAGAATTTGATCTGAGCCCTTTACTTTTGCTATATTGTAATTATGAACTTATAATTTCGACGGGAGCAATACAAACCCGAGCAGTAGACAGTTTTCGTATTGGGCTGGTCAGTGAAATTGTGTGGTGACTAATCTGTTTACTAATGTGAATTTGCAGCTATGGTTGCTCTAGTTTCTATTTATATATCTCTTGCTTCTTTTTTGGGTCAATTATATTATCTCATGCTTAGCTTTGTAATTATGAACCATTCAAACATGCAGCACACCATTGCAAATTGTCTGCAGGTCCTTACTTCCAAACGTGGGCCCAACCACAGCTAAATGATACCGATGGAATTGAGCCTTTTGCACAAGTTGGGCTGGACCCCAACCCAACCTAAACAAATTTATACTTGTAGCTTCCACCACCTAGGCCCAACAATGGGTGGTGACGTGGCATGGGTGAACCGGTAGTTTAGCTCTCTCTGTGGACCCATGACGGGCCACGTGATAAAATCGTGATCACCTGTTGGTTTGCACGTGCAGCAGCCCATTTCTTGGACTCGTACATACGTGCACCTTGGAGCGCCACTTCTTCTTCTTAGTTTAAATTTATCTTTTTTCAAAATAATTTTTTATAGCTAATAGTTTGAATTTATCTTAAAAATGAATAAAAACAACAAAAATTGGCCACCCACTCCCCTTTAAAATGACAAAAATCTATATGATTTTATTGCTTTTGATAATGACAAAGTCTATAAGTTAGCTTTAGTTGGTTCAATTATTTATCAACGTGGACCATCTTATTGTTAGGAATCTGATTTGATTGAAATGATCAGATGAAAATGATACTGTCTACCTTAATTTTGGGCTAATTTGTGATAATTATTGGCCAATTTTAATTTCTTTTTGTTCAACTTTAAACAGGCCTTATCCCATATTACCTTAACATCCGACCGACGAACCTATTATAATTTTTTAATGGCACTTTCAAAAAAACGCAACTCTATTTTAAAAAAAGGGATTCGTAAAAACATTTGGAAAAGGAAGCTTCTTTAGAAAGAATTTTCATTAAGAATTAGTTAAGGAGTTCTAATCTCTTCTATCCATTAGACATGTCAGTGAGTTATCTCACAACTGAGCTTCTTGATCCTCAATAATTCTTAACAAAAAAATCTTTAATGTTTTTCTATGGAAAAACAAAAAACAAAAACAAAAACTAGGATTTGTTCTAACATTTTTTTTTTTTCTGATATTTATTCTACCAAAATTTTAGGTCATATTTATTCTAACACGTTGAAAACATGTGTTGTTAAGACAAAGAATTTAACACGAAACCATTTAGTGTTAGAGTAAAACGACCCTCATACTTTACTTGATTGATTTATTGAAATTATGGTTTGTTTGTCCAAAAATGACAATATCAATTCCAATATTTCTAATCGAAACACATGCAATAAATTAGAATAGCAAATATATAATATTTACCCTTAATATGCATTCATCCATTTATCTTATATTATTGATTTGAGAGAATCTCCAACAAAAGAAAAAAACTGTATGATGCAAAGAATATTGAAAAAATAATAAATACACAAAAAGAATCTTGAAATTTAACACATGTTCAATAATTACACATGACTAATAAGTGTAGATACATAATTACACTTGAAATTATGGCTCGGTTTAGTTTTACTCTTTTCGTTCAATTATTGTATCGGCTCACTAGATGACACGTTTAAATTTTAAATGTTCGAACAAATGCGCCCGTATTTTAAGGCCGTCTATTTAATCATCTCTATTTGTAAAAAATAAAATAACATGAATTTTGAGTTATGTGAAAGTATAAAAGCCTTTTGCTATATATATATATATATATATTCACATCCGTTGAGATCCATGAAAATCATGAAAGCTAAAAACATCAATGAAAGGATTACATTATTAAGCAAAAAGAATCATAATTTTTTAATGCATATATATATATATATATTTCATTTTCTGTTTAACTACTCACATATACTGTGGGCCAAACATGCAGCTGGATTCGTTGTTGCTTCAGATATCGGAACCGTTCTGTGCCGTTACTTTTAATAAAAAAAAATTATTATCATAAAAACAAACAAACAAATAAATAAAAATAAATCAATCAATCTGCTGGATATTGCTAGCTGTTCCTTTTCAGCGTTCCAATTCAGAAAATCACCAGACAGAAAAAAAAAATACAGAAGAAAATTAACAGAAGAAAATTTCCTCACTGAATTTTCAAAGAAAAAAAAGATAATACAGAGAGTGAGAAAATTATCCGAAAATAGCGAAGGGAGGTTAAAGATATTTGCTTTCCATTTTCTGGCAAAAAGATACCAACACCTCGGCTTTCTTTTCACTTTATTCTTCAGCTTTGGCTTCTCTTAGGGTTTTTGAGCTTGACGATTCTTCCAGTTTTGACTTCCTCTGAGGCTTACTGCGTCAGAGAATTGAACCGTCCGGGTTTCGCCGTCTGTTGTGGAAACTGCTTTTTCGGAGCCAATTCAGGTCAGCTATGCATTAATTGGAGGATTGTTAGCTTTTTTTTGTCAGTTAGGTTCTGCTTGGATGCCGAGAAAATGAAGGAAAAGAAATGTTGTTGCTGGTTTTAGTCTGCTGGTATTCTAGGAAGTGAAAGCTTATTAGTCCAATTATTTGTTATTACTTGTTGGGCTACTTTTGTTGCATATTCTTAGCAGATGAACTGGACATCACTAGGGAAGGGATAATACTTATCAGTTATCAAAGGTCCTGTAATATTGGCAAATTGTTTTTTTAAACAATTCAATTTATAAATGTTTTGGTAGATGATTCATTTATAGTATATGTAATTAAATAGCATTTTAATCTGGTTTCTTATTCAGAAGATGTTTCAAGGTTGATGAATTGCTGCTTGAATTTCACTTCAGAATGACGGCAGCTTAATTAGATTTATAGTTTATAATTTTATGTCTCTGATAGTCTTATAGTCTTACTAGTGTTTCTGGATGTAGGTACTTGCACGTGGTTCCTCACTGAACAAATTCCTTTATAGAGCGTCATCTAGAGTTGGTTGAATGAAATCAGTATAGGCAGCATGGATGATCTAGTGGCGGAGGAAGTGACCTCATCAGATCCAGCAGAGGGTACACAGCTCCAAAGGAAAGAAAATGAGTTTTCACTGAAACCCGAAAACAACACATTAGAATGCCAAGAGATGCATATACCAGGTGAGGACAATTATTCCCCAAGCTCACGTCAGGAGTTTTTGGAGATGTTTGACAGTCATAGTGTAGATAGGAATATGCGCCATGTGAATGGATTAGAACACCAATATAATAGTCTAGGCTTTATGGAAGATGCTGGTTTCACGGGGGAAGAGTTAACCGTGAGAAATTGCAATAATCCAAACTTAGCTATTCTTGATACATCAAACAATCAAGGAAAGATGCAAGCTAGGCAGAACTCGTGGCAACATTTATATCAGCTAGCAAGTGGATCAGGAAGTGGGAGTTCGCGGGTCAATACTGCATTCAGGGATAATGGGCAGGTAATGCCCAATGGCATGGAGAATGGGAGGTCCACATCTTTCCCTGAGTTTTTGGCTCAGAAGGCATTTAGTGACAACCACTATGAAGTTGTGGAAGAATTGACAAATACTGGAAATAGAGGGGTTTCAGGCAATACTTACGCAGGTATCCGGACAAAAATCCTATCTAAATCAGGCTTTTCTGAGTTTTTTGTTAAAAATACATTGAAAGGTAAGGGTGTCATTTGCAAAGGTCCATACCATGCGAGCTGTCATGTTGAACCTAGAAACCTGAATAGAGCAAATGTGGTTGATGGTTCTATGTCATCTTCTTTGGGTGGTGGTTCTATGGCTGCTTCAGATCCAATACTGAGTCCGGATGCCAATATTTTTATGCCTTCTTCCAATGGTGAGAATGTTGGGCCCAGGCCTTGTGGCTCTGATCATGATGGTATCAGTTTGAGAGAATGGCTGAAAACTGGACGTCCTAAAGCGAATAAAGTTGAATGCATGAATATATTTAGACAGATAGTGGATCTGGTGGATCACTTCCATTCTCAAGGAGTTGCTTTGCATGGATTGCGGCCTTTTTTCTTCCAGTTGTTGCCTTCAAATCAGGTCAAGTATGTCGGCTTACTAGTCCAAAAGGAGATGTCAGCGAGTATAATGGATGAAGATATTTCTCACTCAGAAAATAGTTCAATTGGAAAAAAACTAGTCGAGCAGGAGTTTTCATCTGTTGGTTTATCTGCAAAGAAGCAAAAGATCAGTCAGAACACTAGATTGCAATGGCCTCAGTTCCTGACCACTTCCTACGTCAGACGTGAAACTATGAATACCAGCTGCATCAACATCATTGGTCTGCGGAACAGAAGTGATGCATTTGATGAACGTAACCCAGGTACAAAGCATGGGACACGTACCAAGTCCAGCAGTCCTCATATGCGTAATGCAGCTCAACAGTTGACTTCAATAAGTGATCATTTGGAAGAGAAGTGGTATATTAGTCCGGAGGAACTCAGTGAGGGGAGCTGCACAGCTTTATCAAATATCTACAATCTGGGTGTTCTTCTTTTTGAGGTGCAAATTGAATAATTTTGTTGCTGCACTTGACACATGATATTGCTTCACCAAATTGAATGAAAAGTCTAATGGATTAATTTGGGTATTCGTTTCAGTTACTTGCTCATTTTGACTCAAATAGCGCCCTTGCTGCAGCAATGTCCAACCTGCGCCATAGAATTCTCCCCCCTAATTTTCTGTCAGAAAATGCTAAGGAGGCTGGATTTTGTCTTTGGCTACTTCATCCAGATCCATCATCACGCCCAACAACAAGGTAGTGCTGAACCCTTGTCATGTTATTTTATAACATTTTTATTCACATCAACTACATGGATTTTGTATCCATGACTGTGAAGGTGTGTATATTCTGGTAAATAATATTGAAGGATGTAATATTGGGAAGGAATTATATTCTGAAAATTTATGCCATAAAAAAATCTTGTATATAGCAGTTGATAGAACTGGAAGTTATAGTGTCAAGGATCTTCCAAATAGGTGTTATATATATGCATAAACAATAAATATATAGAAACACAAAATGTAGTTGAATTGTGCAGTTGAAGAAAATGGGATGACCTTTTATACAATGTGAAACTTGAATCCAAAAATCTTAAGCCCATATCCCGTTCTAGGGCTACTATTATAATTACTTATTTAATGGTACTTTGAATAGCAATTGAAATTTACCTTGGTTCATGGATCTTTTAGGAAATTTCTCATAAATTGATGGAGACTTCTGAATCTTGGAAATTGAATTTGATTCCTTTTTAAAAATAAATAATATTCATGCATGAAGGGGTTGACGCTTTGTGTGCGAACCTCATGATCCTCCAGGTTTTTTTTTTGGGGCAACGATCCTCCAGGCTTCTTGTGGATATATAAGTGATTAGGAGTGCACTATGGCACCTTGGTTGAATATTTGATGGAAGTGTTCTAAATTATGCAATTGCTTTTCTCCCCCCCCAAAAAAAAAAATTCAGAATTCTAACCTCAATTTGTACTTATTATACTATTCTGACTTCTGAGTTTATGATCATTGGTGATGACAGGGAAATTCTACAATCTGAAGTAGTTAATGGGCTACAGGAGGTTTGTGTAGAAGAATTGTCATCTTCTGTGGACCAAGAGGATGCAGAATTGGAGTTATTATTGCATTTCCTTACATCAATGAAAGAAAAGAAGCAGAAGGCTGCCACCAAGTTGATGGAAACCATTCGGTTCCTAGAAGCTGATGTTGAAGAAGTTGAGAGGAGGCACTGTTCAAGAAAACCCCTGATTGATCGTTGCTTGTACAATGAATCCCTGAATGCAAGGAAAAATACATTGGTTCTTGAAGAAGATTCAAGGTCAGAGGGGCTTTCTCCAATATCTTCTGTTCCTAGTTCAAATGATTCAAGGTTGATGAGGAATATCGATCAGCTTGAGAGTGCTTACTTCTCGATGAGATCAAGAATTCAGTATCCTGAGACTGATTCTACAATACGCACAGATAAAGATTTACTAAGAAATCGCAAGAATTGGTGTGTGGCAACGAAAGATGAAGAAAAGGAGACTGCCACTGATCGACTGGGAGCCATCTTCGATGGTTTGTGCAGGTATGCTCATTACAGTAAGTTTGAAGTACGTGGCATACTAAGAAATGGAGATTTCAACAGTTCCTCAAATGTAATTTGCTCTTTGAGTTTTGATCGGGATGAAGACTATTTTGCTGCTGCTGGGATCTCAAAGAAAATTAAGATTTTTGAGTTTAATGCTTTCTTCAACGATTCTGTTGATATTCATTATCCGGCGATTGAGATGTCAAACAAATCAAAGATCAGCTGTGTTTGCTGGAACAACTATATCAAAAACTATCTGGCATCAACTGATTATGATGGGGTAGTCAAGGTATGTATATCTTGTGCTACACAGAGTTGTCTATTTTGCTGGAAAAAACTACTTCTGTCAGAATATTGACCTGACAGCCTCTGCAAGTTCATCCTTTTGATATGTTTCACAGAAATAGTCCAATAGAGATGTATGACTGTTTAGGGTGTATGCTTTCTATTTTATTTTTTATCATGCATTCATGCTTGGCTCATTTTTCCCTAATATATTGGTTTGCCCCTGACTATTTCTTGTCCTGATTCTTTAATGATTTCTTGCATTGCACATGGCATAATTTTCTTATATGGAAATCCAGTTATGGGATGCCAGCACTGGTCAAGAATTTTCTCAATACAATGAGCATGAACGGAGGGCTTGGTCTGTAGACTTTTCTCAAGTATATCCGACAAAATTAGCCAGTGGAAGTGATGATGGTTCTGTGAAACTATGGAGCATTAATGAGGCATGCTCTCTCTCTCTCTCTCATATATATATTTATTGTGCATAATAATATATCAAGATAAATGCTTCATGATACGAGAATTTTAGTTGAAGAAGGAATTGTTCTTTGTTGTCTGTTAGTTTTACTGTCCCAATGCCTTTGTAATTCATGAAATGATTTGAGTTCTATAGAAAATTAACATCAAAGTAAGATGCTGTCTATCATTTTTCTGTTAGTTAGGCATCAAATTTACCATTCTGAGAAACTCTTGTTTGGTTTTTATGATTCTTATTTAAATGAAACTCATGTTTGCTACTGATGTACAAATGTTGCTGATTGAACTAGTAGTTGGGTGTCCTTGTGATGGTCCCTAATGCAGATGCTATTAATTTTATTTTTTTTAATAGATATATGTCAATTTGGGATTTCACATTTTGTGTTCATTTTGGAATTTTAATATGTAGGGCTTGCTTAAATTTTAATTGGGAACTACTAGGGTTTGTTTTTCTTTACTATCAGGTTTCCTTCTTAGCTTTATTTTGTTACTGTGATTGCCAATAACAGTAAGGGCTTATTTTTATGATAGACAGCGCAAACCCAATAAGGGAGGGAATAAAGCTAATATAATATGAAAACCCTAGTAAGGGGAAAACAAGCGCTAATAGTTAAAGAAATCCCAATCAAAATTAAGCAAGCCCTGCATAATATAAAAATTCCAAAATTAAAAATAAAATATGAAATGTTAAATTGACATAAATAAACCATAATAAAGTGTCTCAGTATGATCTGCATCAATCCCTGAATGCTGATGGGGCTTTTGATGCTCAAAACACAATCCCTGTAAAGAAATTGTGGCCAAATGATGCCTGACATATCTTTCTTTCATTTCGGCTCTTCTTCATCCTAGCACTGATTACTGCTTAAGATATTGTGAGATTCTTCTGAAATCCCTTTTTTTATTTTCTTTTCAGAAAAAATGTTTAGGAACCATCAAGAACATTGCAAATGCAAATGTATGTTGTGTGCAGTTCTCTGCACACTCAACTCATTTACTGTCCTTTGGATCTGCGGACTTCAGAACCTATTGCTATGATCTTCGGAATACTAAGATTCCGTGGTGTGTACTGGCCGGCCATGAGAAAGCTGTAAGCTATGTAAAATTTTTGGACTCTGAGACCCTTGTTTCTGCATCCACTGACAACACATTAAAGCTATGGGATCTTAACAAAAGCAGTATAAATGGTCCATCCACCAATGCTTGCAGCTTAACCCTTGGGGGACATACCAATGAGAAGGTTGGCCACCCCACTAATTTTTTTATTGGTTCTGTATACTAGAATCTATTTCTATTTCTGTCTTGATTTTGAGATCTAGCTAATACTTGCTTTAACTACTTCGTACCTATCTAACCAAGTTTTTTTTGTTTTGGGGTCTTTCTCTCGGTTGGTTCACTTCACACTTTGGATGTTTACTCCCTCAGAACTTTGTGGGTTTGTCCGTTTCAGAAGGTTACATAGCTTGTGGTTCAGAAACAAATGAGGTATACATTTAATTTCCATGCTATGTGGTTCATTATTTATAAAATGAAAAATGAACGGACTTCTAATTGAATTAAAATGAAGTTTTTAACAAAAAAAAGGTAAAAAGGAAGTACTGACTTTCTAGACAGTGCTTATGTGGGATTTGCAGTTTAATCAAAATATAATTAGCTTCTTTAACTTTTGGAGTTGATATCTCATATCCTTTTCCAGGTTTATGCTTACTATAGATCTCTGCCTATGCCAATCACTTCACACAAGTTTGGCTCTATAGATCGTATTTCTGGAACTGAGACTGATGATGATAATGGACAATTTGTTTCGAGTGTCTGCTGGAGAGGGAAATCAGACATGGTTGTTGCTGCCAATTCAAGTGGGTGTATAAAAGTGTTGCAGATTATTTAAGGAAAAGGTAACCCCCTTGACATCAATCAAGAAGTCATTATCCTTTTGAAACCTTCTTGATGGCTTGTTATTCCCTGAGTTTCTTCTGGGAGGCCTATTATAAAGCTGAAACTGTAAGTTCATATGGCGAAACTCCCGGAAGTAAGTTTTCATGGAAAGACTATGAATCTTAGATTCTTAGTGCATCTCGGATTCTAGCCATCAACGTTTGATAGAGGGGCCGAACTTGACTAAATTACTCACGGTGAACATTTCAGCCCCAAAATATGGAATCTGAAGGACATCCATCTGGTTGTGAAAATATTTTGAATCTTCAAATCAGAAGTTTGTGATACCGGCACAAGAACTGACCAACTTTTAACAGTGTCGTATTGCAATCAATAAAGGAGACTTGAGGATTTCTTTGTGATACTCGGCTTCGAAAATTTTAAATTGTGATAACCATGACCAAAGTGAAATCCGGATGAGCGGTTTGCAGATGAAAATAGATTCTTGGAACAGCAGTGTCAAGCATAAGTGATTAAACTGGGGAATAGAAGTCTGAGCTCCATCCCTAAGCTAAGCATTTATTCCTCAACAGTTTCAGTTTATGCAGGAATGATGTTACATAGATCATTTTCAGATCACATTAGCGGTCAACTAATTTGATTAGAATGTATGTTCTTTATAGCATTATTCATTTCAAGTCCTATTCTTAAATGAAGGGCTGTCATATAATATAAGACCAAAGTGTTTGGTGAGAAAACAACTAAAAAGCATTTGTAACACTTTCAAAGAGGATGATCCCTCTTGAGTGGTTTTCAGTATATATAGCGTAGTACATAGGGCCTCATGTTGTAAACTTCAGGAGATTAGGTTTTATATGAACGTCCTTTTTTTGGGAGCTCACATAATTGAATTGTATCTCATTTACGATAGCGCGATTTCTATGATATCTTGCAGTTTAAATTTTGATAAGAGGGAATGTATTATATTTAAGATTTATTTATTCATTGGCGAAAAATGTTGCCATTTTATCTTGCCTCTTGATATGCTCTGTTGTAGTTTGAATTAGAAATCACCTTATTTCTGCATATTATGCATAATTCTTCTGGACATAGCACTGTCCGATAATAACTGTGTGCTATATTTATACTTGCACGGTAAAATTAAAAAGAATTTCCTTTTGTTTTCTTTAAAAAGAGAAGGAAAAAAAATCAAATAGAAGTACAGGGGTCATGAAAGTATGTACAGGCCATGCGAGAACATTATATGAAAAGAAAAAAATAAGCAAAACTCTATACTATTATCTTCAAACCTATGGACCTATATATAAGAACTTGAAAGTTGCACAAGAAGCAGACAATGAAAATTCACTGTTTCTATGTCTTAAAATCAAACTAGTATTTTTGTTTAAGGGTAACAAAAACTGATCCATACTTGGTTGAATAATTTGTGGAACCTTTTACTGTGTGCTATTCTATTCAATGCCAGCAACTCTTTTGGTGTTGTGAGCAAAAGGCTAATGTATCTCTGAGTCCGAGACATGACCACACGGTCTGTGTCTGCCGCTCGCAGTACTCTTTGTACTCATAGGACTCGGTAGTGGACTGCTCCCATTGTTCATCTTCGTGCTGCTGCGACGACATGGTTTTAATGGCGTCGAAACTTTTGGTGGTGGAATTTTTGGTAATGGAAGTTTTGGTGGAGGAAGCCTTGGTGACGAAAGTCTTGGTGTCGAAAATCTTGGTGTTGCTGGTGATCTTGATGTCCCTGCATAACCAGATCAGCATTTTTCTAGTCAAGATTCGAATGGTAATTTAGAAAGCACAGAAGCGCTTAAAGTAATATGATGATCAATGTTTCTCATCAATGCAGAAAAGAGTTTAGGTGAAATTATTAGCTGACCTAAGCCTTTTCTAGTGCTCACTCCGGGGCGTTTCTTTGCAGTGAGAGTTTTCTTGGTTGGAGCCTCGGAACATACTGACCTCAAATCAAAAACAGACCTCAAATCAGAGCAAGCAGACCTCGTATCACTTAATGGTACAAATGGATCTTCGATGACAGACATACTGTCATTTCTGCAATTTGGGGCTTCTTGCCTGCTCATCGAAGTTGTATCACTTACAGAATCCAGACTCTTAATCCTGATAAGGCCGGGGCTAGTCTTCTCCTTCTCCCCAAGTCTATAAGAAAACATTTGAAATGGAAGTTGTGATATTGAGGATAAATCAGCATACCCTGCCGCTGAACTATTCTTCAGGAACCATGTCTCTATCTCACAATAATCCATAGGAGGGGATTGCAGTATAGGCTGATCGTCGTCGGGGTTCAAGGTAAGAAAGTTCTTTATGTAGCGTAGAATTCGACAAATGGATGAGAAAGTCAGGCGCTGAGATGGGTCAGTGTGCCAGCATCTCTTGGTTAAGTTGACAAGGTACTTTGGTGAAGGGAAAGGGAAGAGAGGCCTCCCTCCTGCTCTTATAGTGCGACTCATCTTGTCCCCTTGGAGATGTGAATCTTCAAAAGGAACCTTCCCAGTCAAGAGCTCAAAGCAAAGCATCGCAAAGCTGTATACGTCTGCTTTCTCTGTGTATTTGGTACGACGGTTATTTCCTGGTTGTTCTTGCTCAGCCAGGACTTCTGGGGCACACCAAATCAAAGGGTTGATCTCATTTTGCTGCTGTGAGTATCGTGAAGTAGGTTTGTGTACGGATGATAAACCAAAACCTGATACTTTTACTTGAAAATAACCTTCTGTGCAGCTCCTTGCCTTGAGAAAGACGTTACAAGGGTTCAACTCTCCATGGTAGATCTTCCTAGAGTGGAGATATTCCATGCCTCTTGCAATCTGAAGCATGATATCAACCACCACTGGGATCGAAAACAAAACCTGCCTTCTTGCACCACGGTTCTCCTTCATGTAGCAGCGCAGATCCTTGCTCATCAACTCCATAACAAGAAAGCACTCCTTCTTCTCCTCATCATAAAACCCACAAAGGTACTGCAGTACATGGGGGTGGGAAAGTGAGAGGAGAGTTGAAATCTCCGAGTTCAATGGTTCAAGATCCCCGAAGAAGTGTCTCAAGGCAAAGCTTTTCCCCAACCACTGGATTTCCTTGTATTGGCTTCCCCCTCCTAACCGCCGCCTAATTTGGTAGTCCTTGGATGCTAATAAGATTGTGCTTGGAAACAGCTTCCCACTGAAATCTGACCCATGTAGCTTCTTCAGCAGCAAGTCTCCAAGCTGCTGCTCATTCCTTGTCGAACCAAGGGATCCTGAAATTTTGTTCTCCTTGAGCGTTTCAATGAGCCGCCATCTATCTTCCCTCCAGGCACTCTCCAACCTTTTGCAGATGGCCTTTGGGACCAAATACTGCTTCCCAAATCTCCATTGGAAAAGCTTGGGGTCATTCCACTCCCTATCATACTTCCTTGTGAGCAAAATCCTCTTCTTGTGCATCACATCCTGATCGAGTCCAGCAATCTCTCCAGCGTTCTCAATTGCCTCAATCACAGCCGCGTAGTAGCAGAACAAGTTATGAATATGAAATTCAACAGAGTCCTTGTTCTGATGGAGGAGGATTGTTTTGCTCCACCAGTTACTTGCATCCATGCAGTGCCTAATGTAGAGCTCCGCTTCTTTGAAAACTGTGTGAAGCTCCCTCAACGGCTTCTCAAGAGCTTTCCATTTGGTCTTTTTCTCTTCGAGATTTAGGTTCAGCCTGATCTCCTCTCCAATTGTGTCAAAGGCCATACTGAATACATCATGCAACAATGAGCACTGACATTGATTGATCAGAGTCTCATCTTGTACCATCAACAGAGCCTTCATACTTCCCACAACCTCTCCAATATGCCGGAATTGTTCCATTCCGGCCCCAGAAAACCGAAAATTTTCTCAACACAGTAGCTAACCAGATGTATAAATTCAGCAACAAGTCCAATAAAATGCTCAACAACTCAAGATGCTGTGCCAGAAAAAACAGAACAAAATAAGCAAAAAATATAAAATAAAAAGGGTTACATTTACTCATCAAGATTACAACTTTCCAACCATGCATCAAGACCCACATGCATGCCAAACTTGTCTCATATGAGGATTCTAAATATTATGAGAATAGGGGTAAAATAAATAATGAGATCATAAAATATTATGTACCTGGAGTAAAAAATCGAACTTTCTTGCTGTAGAATCCAAATGAGCTAGCTAGCATCCAAGCAAACACCAATTCACATTCAACTCTGTCCCCAACCCAAAAATCTGATCATCATCATCAAGCAACACCCCCTATTTCCAATGGGTACCCCAAAGAAAGAGAAATTAATTAACAAAAACTGAAAATATTTAAACCCCAAGAAGAGAAAAACCAGAGCAGAACAAAGAAAACAGACCGGTCTGGTTCAGGTTCTAGTTCTGTTCCAGATTCAAAGTCGTCCCTCCAAAAACCAGACGAAGAAGGTGGTCAATGAATCAATCTGAACCGCCTGACCAGGCGGTTTTCTCATTAAAAACCAAACAAGAAATGAAAACCAAGTTATTAGAAAGAAAAGAAAAGAAAAAAAACGGATTTTCCGAGGCGGCAGTTTGTCACGTTCTGTAACGAATATTAATTTTGGAAAAACTGAGACCCAAGAACAAGAAGAAGAAAGCAGTTCTGTTTTTGTTTTTTTTTAATTGAAAAAAAAATTGGTTTGAAGAAAAGAAAAAACAAATTTTCAGGTTTTGGAAGAGAAAGTGAGGCGTTGTTGAACAGGTCCGTTTTCTTTGGACCCTATTTATATTTGTTCCCGCGATTTTCGTCTTCCGTAGAGAAAACGAAAAACAATGTTTATTAATCAGGTCAAAATTAGTTGTCATTAGGTACCCTGTGTGAATAAATTAAGCAATTCTATCAGCTCATTGATGAAATACGTGAGCTATTAATTTAATTAGCGAAGCAAAATAAAAGAAATACATGACATTATTAGTAAATAAATATGAATGAATGTTCCAATAAGTTCATTGAGCCAGTTCAAATAATTATGAATGTTCGACCGTAAGTGATAATCCTGATATACGATATAGAAGCGTAATATAGGATAATGTATTGATAAATAATATGAACATGATATCGATACAATATCAATAGTATGTTTTTAATAAGAAACGAACATCTATGAAACAGACATTCATTCTTATTCAAGAGAAGAAATATAATGCTTTTCCATCCATCCTTCCTTCTTCCTCATGTTCAAAAGTTATCTTCAACATGTCATCTTCGTCAATTCCACATTTATTAAATTTATTTTTAATGAAAATTGATTAAATTTATGTCAAATAATTCTTTAGACGAATTATTATGCCAAATTACTTTGGATGTGGCAAGGGGCTGCATGCAAGGGTGTTGTGTTGGCGTGCGCGGCACGTTATAAATTTTTAAGTGTTTGAGTTTGACGTGATCCGACGGTCCACCAATGCTTAATTTAGTGGCCATAAATTAAGGCGGAAAATAATTATCATATATACATGGTAGCTTCGGTGCTTCCAGTAAGCCAATGTGGATATGCCACGTTGACAACTAATTGTTGCTGGTTAGGTCAATAAAAGCACACGTCTGACGGTCTGAGGGGCTGTGGAAAGACAATTCTCTCACCACCAAAATTGAAATGTTCTTACTATTATTTCAGTTGTTTTTTTTAGATAGTTTTCAAACTTGATGATTAATTATGGTAATTACAGCTTTCTATTTGGGGCTGTGGGAGCCTTCTCACATCGTTGCCACCCCAGGGTGTCGATTGCAAAGATAAACGAGTGAAGGCCAACCTTCTTGCCTTCACTCACAGCTATATAAATGCCTTTTTGGTCAATTTGTTTTTCACGAAAATTCAATTTGGTCACTGAGAATTTTTTTTATAGCCAAACTGGTTACCGTGTCTCTCAAATATGGGGACCAAAAATCCGATCCCACGTAGCAAGGCCCAACTAATATATCATGATTAGAAGCAAGTGAAAACGTGAATTAGTTAAACCTCCCTCACACTAAAGAAGTGTGGAGCAAGGAAGGAGTAACCCGATCAAACTCCCCACAATTATGGAAACGGGACGCGCAAACCTAGGGGGTGGAGCCTTGGAGCGCTATAAAAGCCCAACTGAGCCCCAACCAAGGTACGAGAAATTCAATTGAGCACTAAGAGATCGCTGCACAAACACTGACCTGAGCGTCGGAGTGTCTTTTGCAAGTACTTCCCCTATTTACATCCTGCACTTTCGAAGAAGCGATTTGGAGTCCTTTCCAATTAAGGAAACGTGCAAATTTTAGTCAATAACATGTGGAGGCATTTCTTCTTGAAAGAAATCCTGCTCCAACACCAAAATTTACAATTTATAGACATGTTGTTATCTTCTTCATAAGATTTTCCCCAATTTATTAAACCCTAATAGCATAATATACCATAACTTGTTGAGTTAAAGGAAGAAGATTGAAGGTGCTTTCCTAAAGAAATAAAAATAAAAACTTCACTTAATTGAAGATAACAAAATGTCTATAAATTGTAAACATTGGAAAACATAATGACCAATTTGGCTAATTTTTTTACTCAATGATCAAATTGAATTTTCATATAAAATTCAATGACCAAAAAATTGCTTTGAAAGTAATTTCTTTGGAGTTGAATGTCATGTTGTGAATAAAGTTACAATAAGATCAGCTAGTTCAACGGGTTTCTTTTTTCAATATTCGAAGAGGTCCTAAATTTAAATCTTCAATTTGTATTTAGGTAAAAGAAAATCACATAGAATCTAAAAATTCTCCTTGCACGATGTTTGTATTTTGTTAAATGACAGATTTTACATTCATACAATAATGTATCGATAACATGTAAGTACGGGATCAACACCCTACCAAATACCATATCCACTAGTCTATTCATCCTTTCATACTTAAAGAAACGTCAAGTCAAGCTTTTAGTTTGGGCCTCGTGAGAGAAGATCATCCAGCCTTGTATCAGTATTTGGTGTAGAAGCCGAAGCCTGACTTAACCAAAGCCCATGGATTAAATTGGATCAAATCCTAAAACAGCAGTGGAAGCTAGAAAGATTAAACAAAAATAAATAAATAAAACAATTATAAAAAGAAAAAGAATCAAGAAAATTGATGTCACTCTCATTAGATTTCACTTTCAGTCTCTCCATCTCTAATCTCCCATCTCCATTTCCCAAAATCTGGTGTTTTTATCATAAGCAAACGAAGATTAAACATTCGCACTCAGAAGAAAGCCAACTGAAAAAACAGGGCAAAAAGCTCCGCCACAAATACAATGCCCGATTCAGTGTGTAAAGTTCTTTAGCGAAGGCCCAAGATAGACACTTTATGCGCGCAACCGCTGGTCACTTAGAAGAAGACGATGCAGTGGTACTTTGTTGCCGCGCTGCTCACCGTCCTCACCAGCTCTCAGGTCTGTGAACCTCAATAATCTACAATTGCTGGTCGTTTTGTTGCTACTTTGCGTTTCACTGTCTTCTGGATCTCTCTTTGCTCTTTAACTACGAGTCTGACTTCTACAGTGTTTGGATTTTAAACCCATTTTCAAAATTTGGGAAATTTTTGCTCCAGTTGAGCCCAAATCAATTTGGTCAAAGTTTTTTTTATTTTAATTATGCCCAAAGTTCTTTTCTTTTTCAGTTTCAGTTTAATTTTTGTTTTATATTTACCTTTCTATTTATGTAATATGTGTGGTTAAGAGTGCCAGTGTGACAATGGCACATTGATTCTAACTGAAAATGGTAGAAAGAGGCTTTGAACTGTTATTACTTTGTAGCTTTGCATGCTTTTGTTGATTGAAAGAGCTGGTGATGGAACATTATCATCCAACTATGGCTAATACTTGAGCCGTGAAAAGTACAACTATGCGCTACATTTCTTGAGGCTTTTTAAAGGACAAATCAATATGAAAGGAGATGTTGTGCTCTTCTCAAATTCCAAGTATTTGATCATTTAAATAATTTAGAGTAAAAACATGTAAACTTGATACTTGTAAGTTGTATCAAATTTTAAGGATGGATGTACTTGTCTGCAGTTTTGTAGAATTAATGGGTAAAGGAATCAGATGGACCCTCAAAAATTCATAATTTTAATGTTCTATGAAACTGTGTAAAGGGTTTGTGATGGTGTCTGAGCTGGCAGACTGCTATAGAACACGTTGGGGCAACAAACTAACATTTATCTGCAAGAGAGTGAAATTTCTCTTAGACAAAATTATTAGCTTGTTTCTTTTCAAAATTGAATTGGTTAGTTACAGCTCGGGGAATGATCATTTTTCAGTATGGCAGTTTTAGCATGGATTTCTGTGTGTTGCTAGAGAAAAAATTTCCTCAGCTTTTGATAGACAATGATAATGATTTTTCCACTTCCCATGATGAGTGAAAACTTATAAACATAGTTATTTTCTGGAAGTGGGTTTCATTGCCTTTTGGTATCATAACAATGAGCGCTGCCAACCTAAACTTTTCTAGATGTATTTCCCAATTTTTTCTTAACTTTTCATGTCTGTGAAATACATGGAGTGAGAGAACTGTGGATCCACACTTTTATTTATTTATGTTGTGTTGGCAGAGATTGACAGTATTGGTTTATAAAGTCAGTTCCAAAGAATGATCTATTCTTCAGTCTCCCAGAAATGAATATTCATTCATTCATAATTTTATCTATGTCAGGGAATCTTGACAACCCTTTCTCAAAGCAATGGAAAATATAAGTATGACTATGCAACTGTTCCGTTTCTTGCTGAAGTATTCAAGGTACTTCACTTAACCCATCTTCATTAATTGCATCACTTCTAAAGTCACAATGATTTTCCTCTTTTAGCCATCAAATTAGAGATAGTTATCCACTATATAATGACTTATTTTCTTTCCTCAAATATTTGATCCCTTTTAAGTTGTACTAATATTCATTGTTCTGTTCTTTAAATTACAGCTAGCAGTATCCAGTTTACTTCTTTGGAGAGAGTGTCGGATATCACCGTCTGTACGAATGACGACAGATTGGAAGAGTGTGCGCTTATATCCTATTCCTTCAATCATATATCTAATTCATAACAATGTTCAGTTTGCTACTCTTGTTTATGTGGATACTTCCACATATCAGATAATGGGTAATCTGAAGATTGTTACTACTGGCATATTGTTCAGGTGCTTACTTTATTAGTTTTATCGGTGACACAAAATCTGAAGAAAAAAAAAATCTATGTGGACTTTTACTATGTCCGGTTATATCTTCATTATTAATTGGTCGGTTGATATGTTTTATGTGATGCTTCAGGCTATTCCTGAGAAGAAAGCTGTCTAATCTGCAATGGATAGCAATTGTTTTATTAGCTGTTGGAACAACCACAAGCCAGGTGATAATAAATCAGTATGCATAACATATGTTCTTGCTTTCTATTGGCTGACAAAAAAGCTCTGATTCAGGAATTTCTTGAATGATGCAATTTTAATATGCTCTAGTTATTGATAAAATATCGTGTATTAGAACAAACAATCATCTATTTATTGATTTACTTTTAATCTTATAGGTTAAAGGTTGTGGAGAA